AGTAACAGTTATTAAAACTTATGAAAATTTATGTAAACTACTATTAAAATTATCAATAAAAATTAATTATTTTAAAATTAAAATTCTGTGTCGATTTCATGTTTTATTTCACTATTCGCGTGCAACCACAAAACTATATGCGTTAGTTATATTGGCAATGCATACAATTAATATAATAATAAGTGGTTCTATATTTAAATGCGCAGTGTATACAAAAATACACTAATTGTTTCCAAGCGCATTGCATTGTTTACAAACAAATGCACAATTCCACACAAGGAATTTGACACCACACATATCGGCGGCACTTTGCCTACGATATAACCATATGCTTGCCAGGCATTGACCGCATATACAACAACATCAACAGTAAGCGTACTCGATACAAGTGGAATCGAATACGCTTACTTAGCAATAAATTATTAAATATTAAAGTACTTACGCTGCGTCGTTTTGTACATAAATATAAATAAATATTAATATAAATAATATTAAATACATATATAATCATAAAATATTTAGTAAATAAGAAAGTACATACGCTGCGTCGTTATGTACCTAGGTTAAGTTGAAAGTGAAAAACTAAATAAAAATCAGAACTGGAAGTGCACTCAATAGAAGCGCACTAGGTTCCAAACCAAAAATCAACTTTCTTTGATTTAAAATAATTAAAAATTGATGTTAGTAAAAGGATCGCCAAATTATATCGGCGTTTAAAATATCCTTTGATAACTATACCATATTGAAAACTAACATCAGTAATTCACATATATTACAGAACTCAAAAAACAAATATCATTATTTCACAAACGGAAACACCAAATACGATCAATGAAATTGTTCATGTAGATACTTATGTCAATAGTAAAGTATCATTTGTAGTGTTTATAGACAAGTTTTCAAAACATGTTGTGTATTTTCATTTACCAGATAAAAATAATCAAACGATAATCGGGAAGATAAATCAATTTTTAGCCATTAAGGGACACTTAAAAAAGTTTGTCTTTGCCAATGAGTTCAACTCAAGAAATGTGCGAGATTTTCTAACTACAGAAGGTATAGAGTATCATGTTACCAAACCGAATAGCCATACAGGGAACTCTGATATTGAAAGATTAAATAATACCATTATTGAACGGATTAGAACATTAAATTTAGAACAAAAACGTCCCATCGCTTCTCAAATGTGTAATGCCGTTAGATTTTACAATAATTCTTGTTGAAAATATTCGCTTTTAACATTGTGGCAACACTTATTGTTGTACATTTCTTATTTTATCATTTTACTTTTGTTTTGCCTTTCTCTTGCATTTTTAAACCTCGTGGAGTAAACATGTTTTTCTTTTTTTCTAAAATCTGAATTGGAGTAATAAAATACTAATATTAAATGAATGCACGTCTTTTTTATTTCATAAATCTAAGTTACAATAATCAAATTTCAACAATTCTTATCATAGCACTATAAAAACTTCACCATTAGAAGTTCAAAACAACAAGGTGGAACATAGTATCATTAAAGAAAGAATACATCAAATGAAAAACAGAACAATTTTTAAGCAAAACCTAAACCGAGAAAACTATGTAGAAAACAGGGAAGAAGGTTTTATAAAGAATTATAGGAACGTTAGACATAAAGAAAGAACCTAAATTTATTACAAGAATTCTAAAAAATGTTCACATGTCAAACATTAAAAGACCCTCTAAATTTAGTAAACATTAGCGGAAAATATTATAATTATAAAGAAAATACCTTGCTCAAGGAACTAGAATTAAGTAAGAATTGTATATTTTCTAACTCATGCCAATATAAAATAAACAATAAAAAATGCTGTAAATTTAAGCCTATTCCAAAATTGTACAAAAAGGAAAGTAATTTTGAATAAAAATAATTTAATTAATTTTGCAAACTGTCAAATAAAAATTTCAAACATTGAATGTAATAATCATAAAAAGGAATTGTATAATTTTTTTGTTTTTTCTTTCCTTACTTCTCACATACATTTATAATAACGAGATCCAGGAGTATCTCGAATCAAGGGGTAGAGGAGTTACATTCTCTTATCTTATCCCTATATTAAATATTTTATTATCGTTGTTTGATTTTATCAAACAACGAAATATCTAAATTGCATCCTACTAAAAATATTATTATCGTTGTTCGGCCTAACCAAACAACGAATTGTCTTATCAGGATTCGATACTTCGAATCCTCACTATAAATATAAACATTTTATTATCGTTGTTCGACCTAATCAAACAACGAAAGATCTACATTATATTTTATCATATTCTATTATCTTTAAATAAACATTGTAACTTAAAATATTATTATTGTTGTTCAGCCTAACCAAACAACGAATTCTCTTATCAGGATTCGATACTTCAAATCCTCATTATAAATATAAGCAAAATTGTTAGTTATAAGTTAGTCTTAAGATTCATTTAATAAAGTGAGCATTGAACTAAAGTTTTGTGCGTTTTAATCAAATATAATTCGCGTGTTGACATTGTTATTGTATTTAATCAATAACTAGAAATTAGTTTATAGAATAAACAAAATAATTTGTAAGGGCAGCTGACATTGCTATAATAAATAATAATTACATTTCATTAAAATTTTGTAAAATAATTTGTAAGTGCAGCGCACAAGCAAATATTAATAAAATATTTAATATTCAATAAAGAAGTTTAGATGTAATAATAGATGTATCAAATTCAAATGTAAACAAACAATAAATTATTTTATTTTATTTTTGAAAGTGCTTATGCACAAATTATTTTAGATTAACCTATTTATAACTAATGTAATATGTAATGTGATCGCACACGGAAGAACCACGGCAATGCAAGTAGAATACTTGGTCATAGCAAGTATGCAATTACTATTTGACACTTTTCTTTTCTGTGCTACTATTCTGCACATGTCGATATGACACACTTGAATGTGTCATAATATTTTCTAAGCATTGATGTGGGTCAACCTTTTTAGTGTCGCCGCAATTAAAATTAATAGGAAAAATATTGTAAATTATAGTAAAATATTTTGTATAAATAGTTTGGAAAATGATTAATAAAATTCAGATTTGGAACTGAGCTCAAGCAGCTTACACTAAATCTCATTTTTTTTTATTTTTGTCTCGGCATTCTCAGATGCCTACTAATGAGCAGATTTCTTCCTGCTAATTCAATTAGAAGAAACTAATAAAGTCGAAAGAAAAATCTAATAAAAATAAACAAATATAATAAATTTGTGTATCAAAACAAATTTATTATTACACCTGTTGTGAGTTAAATAATTAGTTTATTTAATTTGAATATTTGACAATTTTTCCGTATAGTATTTTATTTGTGTACGATCTTAATTGATCGTACATTTGTGGAATTTGTTATTTAATTGATTTAATCAAATCATACATGTTAAAGAAGCTATTAAGTTAGACAATAAGAAAAACCAACAACAATAGCAACATTAGGTACCAGCGGAAACAAGCCGCTTCATTACTTGTTCTTGATTGCATCAATAGGATTAGGATGCATGCTCGTATTAGGCAGGAATAACTGTTCATATATATTACGTCTCACGTTATTTGGAGATCTTGCTTACATACCAGCATTCATTAAACATTACAATAGCAATGCTAGCGCTAAGCGATGAGGATATAGTAATTAAATCCATGGATAAAAATAAATTCAAAGAAATGTTAAATAAGTTGCAATGTGAAAAGAAAAATGAAAATCGACAAAAATTAAAAATATTGTTATACAAGAAACCAAAAAACATAGCGGACATCATGACAAGATTCAGATTAATTGAGGAATATCATGACAATTCTCATAGCGGATATTTAGGAGTTCGCAAAACTTTTACCAAATTAAAGCAAAAATACACGGAAAAAGATGAAACAAATGGTACATAAATATATTAGTACTTGTGAAAAATGCCAACGAAACTTTCGAAATAGAAATCGACAGTTGGGCCATTAAGACCATAAAGATTCATATTAACTATGCTATGTGATTTAAGTCGATTCATAATTGCATACCCAATCATAAAAAAAGAAGCCAAAACAATAGCTAAAACTTTAGTAGAACAACTCATATTTAAATTCGGCTCCTTATAGATTTTAAAATCTGATAGAGAACCAGAATTCGTAAATAAATTGCTAGCTACAGTTACAGAAATTTTGGATATTAAACAAATTTTCTCGACCCCATACCATCATGAAACGGCAGGAACAATAGAAAGAAACCATAGAGTACTTAAGGAATATTTACTAAAATTTGCTAATGTAATGTGATATGGGTCACACAACGTATAAGTGCTTCAAATAAATTTAAAGTAAACATTGACACAGTTATATTTTTAATAAAATCAACAATAAATTATTTTCAGTAACATCCTGCTAGATCTTTATTACATTATTATATATGTTAGAACTCCACTCCATACCCAAAGGTTAATGTGTGTAAAATGTTTGTAAACTTGCTTTGGTCGTTGCAACCGTGCAGCTATAATTAGAAAATGCAACCCAGTGCACACATGAACTGTCAGTTCATGTGTCAGCTGATGGTCATTTGTGCTTGGCTTTTGTTTTTGAGTTCCGGTAGAGGCAAGGCGGTTGTCACGACCAAAAGTAAGTGAAAAAATAATTAATTTTAAGTATTAGAAATTAATAAATTTGTTTTAAGATTTTAAAGCATTACATTACATTACATTACATTACATCACATTACATCACATACACACAAATAACTTGTTTTGCTATTAAAATTTGGTCAACAACAACACTAATTAAAAAATAACAAACTTTAAAATTTTTGTGGCAAGCTGTAAAAATCTTGCGGTAATCGAGAAAAGAAAATAGTGTGGCGATTTGCCTGGAAAGAAATCCGAAAAAATCCTTTTAATCGGGAACACATATAAAAAGAAAAATATGTCATCCGGCAGCCAGACGTCGACTGTACAATGTGCCGTATGCAAAAAGGTGAAGACTGGAAAGATGGTGCAATGCGACGCATGTGACCAATGGAGTCATTTTGCATGCGTGGGCGTGGACGACAGCATTGCAAACCTGCCGTGGAGTTGCGATAAATGCAACACGGTAGTGCAGGTTTCACAAGAGGTTCCAGATAAGGCACCAAGTGAGGAGGACTTGGTAAGTAAGGGCGGTTCAATCATGTCAAGAAACAGCATGAGAATCGAACTGCAGTACTTAGAAGAGCAAAGAAAAGCCGAAATGAAATATATAGAAAAGAAACGTACAATAATGCTGAAGTATGTAGGCGAGGATGATGTTAAGGGTGAAGGCATGAGTGAGGTAAGGACACATAGGACGTTAGAATGGGTGAAGAAACAGGTTGGTATGAACAACGATGACAGCAAACCAAACGTAGGTTGTGGTGTTCAGTTGGGTGGTTCAGCTGATAGGGCGGAAGCCCAAGCAGTATCGAAAGTTATACCGGCGCTGATGATAGAACAAATTAATGCGCGTCATGTCGTTCCACGAGATTTGCCTATATTTACCGGAAAGCCGGAAGAGTGGCCACTTTTCTACAGCAGTTTCAGCAATTCAACACGTTTATGCGGTTTCAGTGAAGACGAGAATCTTTTACGATTGCAACGTGCCCTTAAGGGTAAGGCACTTGAATATGTTAGCAGTAGGCTCATGATACCAGCATTAGTGCCGGAAATAATGTCAACTCTTCAAATGGTATTTGGAAGACCAGAACACATAATCAATAACTTAATTACTAAAATTCGAGCAGTGTACATTAATATAAATAAATTGGACACAATTGTTACGTTCGCCTTAGAGGTAAAAAATTTGATTGCAACTATGGAGGCTTCAGAGTTACATTCACACTTAGTGAACCCGTTGCTTATCCAAGAGCTTGTAGAAAAACTACCACCGCAAATGCGATTGCAGTGGGCTGTTGCATCGCGTAATATCAATGTAACACTTAAAACATTCAGCAACTGGATATATGAACTAGCAGAAGCAGCAAGTAATGTATCGCCCGTTTTTAGTGCTGGAGCCAGTGTAGATAATGAAAGGCGCAAAGCGCAACGCATTAATTTTCACGAAGAAGAACCTCAGGGTGCAGTAGGCGATAAGCACAAAATTCTAGCATGCTTTTATTGCAAGGAGGCACATGTGTTAAAAAGGTGTGCAAAGTTTAGAACACTAAAAACAGACGCGAGGTGGAACGTAGTGCGTGAAATGAGACTGTGTGGAAGATCTCTACTGCAGCATGATTTTCGAACGTACAAGAGGACCCGAGAGTGCGGTATACACAATTGCAACATGAAACATCACCCATTGCTACATAAACAAACAAGTTCAACTGCAAGTGGGGCAAATGAAACGTTGGCGGTTCATCATCAACTAACTTCACAAGCGCTGTACAGAATTGTTCCAGTTACAATATATGGAAATGGTGTTACCTGCAACATTTATGCCTTTCTGGATGACGGATCTGGTCCAACGTTAATAGAAAAAGACGTATTAAGACAACTGCGGATTAAAGGTGAAACGAAAGATCTTTGTTTACGATGGACAAATGGTACGGTACGCAAGGAACCTGATTCTGAGCTGGTCAACCTGCAAGTCTCCAAAATACGCGAAGGTAAAAGGTATTCGTTGTGCAATGTGCGTTCAGTAGCTAAGCTGGAGCTACCCGAGCAATCTTTAAATATGACAGAACTTACCGATAAGTATAAACACTTAAAGGGACTACCAGTAGAATCGTATCAAAACGTTAGGCCTCGAATGATAATCGGCCTAAGCAATAAAGAGGTAGCTATGCCAATGAAGTTCAGAGAGGGAGGCAAGAATGAGCCAGCTGCAACGAAAACTCGACTCGGGTGGACCATATATGGGATAATTAAGCACGAACCTAATACTATTAGGGAAACGTTAAATTTACACATCTGTGAATGCGATGATGATCTAAGTTTGCAGCGTTTAGTGAAAGATTTTGTCAGTAATGAAAACGTTATTGAAGGTAAGAAAAAACTAGAAAATATGGAGTTGGAACAACAAAAAAGTATGCAATCAAAAATAAGTCGAAATGGTGAATACTTTGTAGCAAGATTGCTTTGGAAATCAAATAACATTACTATGCCGGATAATTACTTAATGGCGTTGCGTAGACTTCAGTGCTTTGAGCGCAAGCTGCAATCCAATGTAACATTGCAAAGCTGGGTATGTGATCACATCGATGACATGAAGGCGAAAGGTTATATACGCCAGCTGAAATCTAACGAAGCCGAGGGGTATTATCCACGTAAATGGTACTTACCGATGTTTACAGTCAGTAATCCGAATAAACCACAAAAGCAAAGACTAGTGTGGGATGCAGCTGCACAATATGACGGAGTCTCGTTAAATGCGTGTTTGGAGAAAGGTCCAGATCTGCTCACTTCGTTGGTAGATGTTCTTGTTAATTTCAGAATCGGAAAAATTGGTATAAGTGGCGACATTAAAGAGATGTTTCATCGAGTACTCGTGAAAGAAGAAGATCAACATTCACAACGCTTCCTGTGGAGAAATTGTGACGATAGCAGACCACCAGACGTTTATTTGCTACAAGTTATGAGTTTTGGGGCAACATGTTCACCATCGTTGGCACAACTGGTAAAAAATAGTAATGCACGCGAATACGAAACCGAGTTTCCGCGAGCAGTGAAATGTATTTTACAAAGGCATTATGTAGATGACATGCTGGATAGCGTCGACACAGTGGAGGAAGCGATTAATCTAGTCAATGAGGTTAGAAATATTCATAAGAAAGCAAATTTCCATATTCGCAATTGGGTTTCAAATTCTAAGGCAGTGCTGAAAGCTATAGGTAACCAAGGCCAGGAATTTCAATTTTGCTCGGCCGGAAGGCGTATAGACCATACATTTGAGGCAGAGAAGGTATTGGGAATCCATTGGCAAACCGACGCTGATATGCTCACATTTGATCTGAAGTTTACCAAAGCCACTGAGGATGTTCTAAGTGGATATAGATTACCTACGAAGAGAGAGTTGCTACGATTGATGATGTCAATATTCGACCCTTTAGGGATGCTTACCTTTTACATTATTGACGTAAAAATTTTGTTTCAAAAAGTTTGGCGAAGTGGAGTTAGCTGGGATGACGCTATTCCTAATGAGCTAGTTGATGAGTGGAACAAATGGCTGTCGCTGCTTGGCGGTGTGAAAAATGTGAAGATACCGAGATGTTACTTCGCTACGGTTAATAAGGATGCAGACTCCATTGAATTGCATGTCTTTGTGGACGCAAGTGAGGTTGCATATGCAGCGGTGGTGTACCTAAGAGCGAAGAATCGCAACAACATAGATGTTTCCTTGATATGTTCTAAAGCAAAAGT